TCATACCTGACCCTCCAGCACATTTTCAGAGGCTGTAAATCACACGGGAAGAGCAGCTGGTGGATCCAAACCATGTGCCTTTGGGAATACAGCACAGGTTTTTTGCTAATAGACTACCGGAGCTCACTTAATATTGAGGAATATCAGTTCAGTTCATGCAGCTGAAGTCTCACCATTATTCTGAAATGTGTATCATTTAAGCTTAGTTAGTTTCGACTTAGGGCAGCCTCCTACTGGGTATCCCAGGCTGTGAGTCTTCATGTGAGGGACAGCCTATCTTTCTCCCACAGAGCTGCTGGTTGATTGTAAATGCTGACCTATACCCAATACATTGTGCAGCTCTCACCAGGGATCCTTCTACATTTAATAGGAGTAACTAAAATACATGTTAAAAGACTTTCCTAATTATGGGTATGTGTAATATGGATTCTTATTTGGAAGTCTTATTCTGCTAAGTTGCTAGTAATTATTTCATTTATATCCTAATACTTTTATCAAGAATAAGAAATGCTATTTCCAAATGTCAGTAACGAATACAGATATTTTTTTTTATTTCACCCAAGTAATGGACAAAGATATGAGAGTTTAAGTGAGTTTTTTGTTCCAATTATCTTAATAAATATTTAATACTTATGTTTTTACTGCAATACAGTAATTTGTATTTTGAATGTGGTTTGTTATGGATATAGCCTGCAGGCTTTGAATGTTGATAATATCTATACTAGTTTTATGTGGTATTTTGTTTTCTGTGAAAGATTACACAGGGAGCTATGCCCCTGTTGACAAGCTGTATACAAATTGTTTGGCACAATGAGATGCCCTTTTCACTATCTGGCAGCATTCTCTTTAATTACATCCTGGTTACTTCCTTTCCAGCCCTCTAGTAGTTATTCCCCGTCCTTTATCTCTTCACCTCCGCTTTAGAGGAATTTTTCTTATGCTAGTGCTCATTTTCTGTCTTCATAATCTCTTGCCTAACAAGGTGTCTCAACATGGGTAGCACTGCGAGGAAAGCCCATACAGTTTTAAAAAGAATTGCAAAGTAACGTTACATTTAGTAGAAAAAGCTAATTGTGTTAGTAATCTTTGGGAAAACACTAGAATTATTCCCCCCCCCTTTTATTGTAAGAATAGAAGGATAACTTTTTGTTATGTGTCATCGAGTCAGTTGCGACTCATAGCGACCCTGTGTACAAGGGCCCTAAACGCCGTTCTATCCTGTGCCAACCTCGCTGTCTCAGACACATTCATTCTCACCACCCCAATCACAGAATCAGTCTATCTCATCGAGGGTCTTTCTCTCCTGCGCTGTCCCTCTACTCTCACAAACATGATGTC